AAAAAAAAAAAAAAAAAGAAAAAATAGAAGAAAATGAATAAAGAAGGGTAAACTTGATCTTTTGCCATTGATATTATTGTTTATATGCTTGAGTTAGCTTGTAGTCCTAGTCCCTTAGTTTTGTCGGATATTTGCATTGAGAAATGGGAGTACACGTATGATGCATGAGTATAATTGTAAAAGTTGGCTTGTGGCGTCGGTCATGGGTGGAAGAGCAATGGACGTGTTCTATTTTGTATGATTCGAGATTGTGGAGTTTCAAGTTGAATATTGACTATAAGGATCCCGGGACAAAAATGAGATTGGCATGCTTTAGGGCATGATAAATGAATGAGCAAATTTATCTTTTCTATAGGTTGGAGAGATTGTTTGCTTAAGGACAAGCAAATCGGTAAGTGTGGGGGAGTTGTTTTGTATGTTTTTGTTGTTATTTTGTGTGTTTTTAAGTATTTTATTTGATTTCGTTTTAGTTATTTTAGATTTTTCATGGTCCATTTAGTCATTTTTGCTCGTTTATGTGCTTTCGTGTGTTTTGGCGTCTTGTGCTTTTTATTTCTCTTTATGTCTTCTAATATTTATGTCTTCTAAGAGATGCCGACACACTTGCAGCGGAATGCAGTTCACGACTGCGCCAACCCGAACTCGCCAGCGAGGCTTCATTCGCGACAGCACCAAGCCGAACTCGCTAGCGAGACTTCATTCACAACCGCACCCACCCGAACTTTCCAGCCAACGCCGATTCGCTACCGGGCGAGTCCAACGCCCCGAACTAGCACTCGCAGCGAGTGGTGCAACCCCACTCGAGACTAACAAAATCCGGGCACGCTCGCTGCGAACTTGATTTCGGGACCCGGTGAACTGTTGTTTTCATTAAATGTGTGTGTTTTTTGTGTAACTATAAATAAACTTGTTGCTTTGTATTTTTGGACACTCTCCCTCATTTTCCAACTTTTTTCAGTTGGAAAATTAGCTCTTTTTCCTTTATTTCTCTCTCTAGTTCATATTTGGAGCTCCAAGACTTGAGTTTTCTGGCGGATTTTTTGGCGATGTCGTTTTTATTAAAGTTTTGAGCTTTCCACTCTGATTTTGTTCGAGCATGCAATAGAAGAGTGAGTACTTAATTTTAAGATTCATTCCTTCGTATGTGCTACTTTTTTTTTTTTAACTTATGAAGTTTTTCAAGGTAAAATTGTTGTCTTGCATGAAAATTTGGGTAAATTTTGGATCCTTCTATTTTTCGTGCTTATCTAAGGTGATTTGGAGTTAATTGCATGCTTATCTTGTGTTAAAAGTTGAGACTTTGTTGTAAGCTTGATCATTTAGGTTAGAAGGCTCATTTTAACATCTTAGGATCTTACTACTCGCGTGTTTCTCTTTGTTTATTTTTGTTTTTCTTGAGTTTTGG